CACATGTCATGAGACTCCGCGCCGAAATCCGTCATCGGTTCATCCCAGTCCCCAGATATCGAAAGCGGTCTTGGGTTTACGTGGGCTTCAGGGTTAATCCGAGTCCATAAAGTTTAGAACCTTACACCCTACTCCCTGAAGCTAGACCGTTCATCTCTGAGCCCCCTAAACCCTGAACTCTGGACCCTACAACCCAAACCCCCCTCAACCTCGAAACTGAACCCTAAACCCGGAATCTTAAACTCTGGAACCTAAACCCTGAACCTTGAACCCGTCACCCTGAAACCTAAACCCTAAACCCGAATTCTTGAACCCTGAAACCTACACTCTAAGCTCAGCTGCAGAGGCCTCGTGCCCTGGGAGCACTTCGTCCCCATACAGGAAGATATGAGCTTCTCGGATCAGATCCCACCTGGGTGGTTGTCAAAATTATTTTTCCCTTTTTGGGGAACCCTAAATGCTAGGTGCCGTGCTAGATTAGGGACCCAAAAAGGGACCATCATTTTGACAACCGCTCACCTGGTAGCATCCGAAGCGGTGATCCCGTGGCCCCGGCCCTTAAAGGAGGCCTTAAAGGGAACCCTGAACATCCCTTAAACCCCCCATAGATCCAGTCAGGGCTCCTTTTAAGGCTTGCGCCGAGGGGTCTGTAAGGCTTCTAGAACGGTTTGGGTTTCCTTTAAGGGGTTCCTTTCAAGTATCACTTTTTGTAGTATAGTGTGCCAAAATGCGGGATCTGTTTTTCCGATCTTTTTTGGGGGTCTGGGAAGCAGGAAGGTTTCAGTTAGGGTTAGGGCTTGGGGTTTGAGGTTTCAGAGTGTAGGGTGTTAGTGTTGAATGAGGGTTCTGGCCGTTGAAGCTCAGTGACTCGTAGTCACAACGTGCCTCCAGTAAGTAGACTTGTCATTCCGCAACCTGAAGCCCGAGTTAGTTTTTCAGGTTATGGCCCCTATTTGATACAGAAGGGACTGCCATGGGGCCTGGGTTTTTGCACACCCAGTGTTTTGCACTACTTGTTTGATAACCCCTCTGCAGAAGAACAAATCCACCTCAAACACCCAACCCTAGATCCCGAGCCCCTACTGTAGCCGTTTCCACTTAGTTAAAACGCCAAAACGAAACTAGCGCCGACGCGGTTGTCGTAGTAAGGAGATATGAGCGGGGTTGCAACCTTTGGGAAACATCTGCATGTATACTAAGTGACCCGATCCGAATACTCTGGCTTAATTTTGTCTTCATTGAACGAGTGCTTTCAACGTTGGCATCTATCATAATCAGGTGAGTGTCCTGTCTAGCACACCACGCCACGAAAAGAAAGCCATCATGTTGGGAGTTAGGATTAGGGGGACCCTTGGGGATATAGACCCTCTCAATAAGGCCCTTTTTACGAGAGCCGGAAGTAGGGTTCAGAAGGGGTACCCTTTAAGGGGTCTCCCTAATGATACTACCTACATGTGTGGCTGTTGGTAGTAGAAGGCCGACATGTGCGGGAAGACCCCGTCACACTGCGTGCGGCAGATTTTTTCCTAGAATCTGGACGCTGCCTCCAGCTTTTCTTAGGTGGAGCTTTGGAGTTTTTGGTGTTTTTTCATGAATCCTAAACTAAAGAACCATCTGAAGCCGAAGCCTAATCCTTAAGCCTTTTACCTCAAGCCCCTCAACTCTACACCCCTAAACTTTATACCCCTAATCCCTAAACTCCTAAACCCTAGACTCCTAAGCCCTCACCTCTACTAGTCTTTGAGCCTCTCAGCTCAGGCGACTTGGTGGAGAAGATCCGCTTCGCTCAGGACTGGTTCCTTCAAAGGGTCCAAGTACTAAAATAGGAGGTACTTAGAAGAAAACTGGGCCCAAAAAGTATCTACTATACCATTACTTTGGTTGATGATATAAATCCTGGCATTACCCGTAGTAAGGAATATACCATGATTCCTATAGCTTAGGCTCCTTAAGGTAATGCAGGGTTTAAATCATCAATCGTTGGACCCCTTGGGTTCTTCATGCGCCAGGTTTTGAGATTCGGCAGCCTCGGCTTTCCCGGTTTGGGGTTTTGAGGTTCGGCGGTTTAGGGTTTGGAGTTTGGGTCTTAAGAGTCGGCGTGAAAAGGTAGGTTCTTGGGGCTTAATTAATGTAGGCTCTAGTTCCTACATACGGCAGTTTCTCGAACATGGGCGAGGAGAACGATGACTCCATGAAGCAAATCGCTCTGCGGGCACTTTGATCTGCAATCGTCCTCGTGGTTCGAAGGGTTTGGGTCTCCGGTTTGGGGCCTTTTGGCTTAAGGGCTTTAGGGTACTGTAGGGGCCGTAATGATGAGAATAGGGTCTGGGGGTATCTTATACTATAGCTAGAATCAGTAAGGAGCCCCCCAAACCCCTATTAAACTGGTTTTAGCTGTTTCTACAACGAAGAGGCTAGAAACATCAATAGTTAGCTACATGGACTATATGAGAACACACCTTAAACTCCTATGCCAACTCTGTTTCAGGCTGGCTGTATTGCATCGAAACCCTGCTCTGACGAAGATAACATGCAAAATGGCCAAAAGACACCAAAATCGGGCCGGACGTCAGTTGGAAGCGCTAGTAAATCCTAAACCCCAAGCAACACATCCCCAAGCCTAAACCCTAAATACTAGTTCTAGACGCGATTCTGTATGGTTTGGGTATGCATTCATCAACACAGTGAACCGTATTGGGTTTAGACGATGCATCCCCACATCAACAGCACACTTTCGCAGCACGCCCAGCAAAACCACCACCACCGATCACCGCTGGCCACCGCCATTCACCCCTGGTCTCCTGCATTCGCCACCGTGACAGTGCTACCGCAGCCCCCCCCCCCCCCCCCACAACAACAACAAAACTTTAACACAAGCACTCCCATCAAGGATGTGAATCCATCAGCACATCCCACCGTTTACATCCATCGCGCCAGCGAGTCTAATAAATATTGCGGCCTTAACAAATAGCATTGGGTTACTGCTACTGCTCTTGCTAGTGCTTTGGCTACGGCTAGTGCTTTGGCTACGGCTACTGCTACTTCTACTACCTGCTGCTACTTCTACGTACTACCTGCTGCTGCTGCTACTACGTACTACTGCTGCTGCTGCTACTACTACTACTACTAATGATAATAACAAGAAGAAGAAGAATCGTATGGGTATCATTATGACTACTGGTCAGAAGTTATATTCATATTAGTAACATTGATAGCGACAAGAGAGGGACTTCCATGCTAGACCATGACAGTGCCGAGGCCCAGCACTTCGCGAAGAATTTCTTCACGGAGGCCCTGAGGGAAAACTTCGTTTAGTCATTAAGGTTTAGTTTTCGGCGTTTAGTGTTTTATAAAACACATTAGTCTTCAAGGTTTGGTTTTGGGTTTTCGGATGTAGGGTTTCGGGTTTAGGCTAGCGCTTGGGGTCTGGCTTGTAAGTGTTTTTACAGCATACGGGCACTTGCGCTCGAAGACCTTAAGATTACACTGGTTGAGAGCTGTGTTTTTTTTGACCTGTTGTTGTGTCCCAACGCGCCGGAAACTTGCCGCAGAAACTCACCCTACCACAGTACGTTCGGTTCCGGTTCTTTCCAGGGGCCTCTTGCAGCAACAGCCCAAATAGTACCGGTCACCACCACCACCACGACTACAACGACGACGACTACTACTACGATCAGTACCAGTGCTAGCATGTCGACGACGACGACGACGACGACTACTACTACTACTACGACTACTGCTGCTGCTGCTGCGACTACTCCCACTACTACTACTACTACTACTACTCCTACTACTACTACTACTACTACTACTACTACTACGACTACTACTACGACTACTACGACTACTACGACTACTACGACTACTACTACTACTACTACTACGACGACGACGACTACTACCACTACCACTACCACTACGACGACGACTACTACCACTACCACTACCACTACCACTACCACTACCACTACCACTACCACTACCACTACCACTACCACTACCACTACCACTACCACTACCACTACCACTACCACTACCACTACCACTACCACTACCACTACCACTACCACTACACTACCACTACCACTACCACTACCACTACTACTACTACTAACTAGTACTAGTACTAGTACTAGTACTAGTACTAGTACTACTACTACTACTACTACTACTACTACTACTACTACTACTACTACTACTACTACTACTACTACTACTACTACTACTACTACTACTACTACTACTACTACTACTACTACTACTACTACTACTACTACTACTACTACTACTACTACTACTACTACTACTACTACTACTACTACTACTACTACTACTACTAGTACGACGACGACTACTACTACTACTATTACTACTACTACTACTACTACTACTACTACTACTACTACTACTACTACTACTACTACTACTACTACTACTACTACTACTACTACTACTAGTACGATCACTACGACGACGACGACTACTACTACTTCTATTACTTCTGATCACTGCTGCTACTACTAGTACGATGACTACGACGTACGGTCACTACGACGACGACGACTACTGCTACTGTAAGAGCACATCTCTACCTCCTGCTGCTGCTACTGTTGGAAAGCCAATACATAGTTACGTAGGATCTTGAAGGTTCCTTGCGCGATGGCTCAAGGCCATGCAGTACTGGACAGGAATCATATGGATCCTGCATGGCTTACTTGATTTGTTTCGAAAGCCAAATGTGTCTTACCACCTCACTTCGATGCAGCGCGCCGTGCAAGACAGATGAGCTAAGAAGTCGAGTGAGTAGCGCCCCAACACCCCTTAATACAGAATATACCTTAAATCATTAGGGGCTTCTTACTATGATTTGAGCTATATTCCTTAATTAAGGGGTATTGGGGCCCTAAACCCTAAACCCTATAGATCCCTATAGATCCCTTATAGATCCCTTAAAGGAACCCTGTCTCTGGGGCCTTTCAGAGTTCAGTCCGCTCTTCCGCATGGGTGCGACTGTGGCGAGACAAAAGGATTGGCTGCTCTTTGGCCCAGTCACTCGGGTTCTGGTCATCAACCCAGCATGCGACTTCTTTGTGGCTTAGTGGAGCAAAACCCAACATTTTTCAACTTTTGGGGCTCTTCTAAGGTAGTCTTATTGGAAGGTTTGAAGTTCTTGCCCCATGCTTTGTCATAGTTGGTTAACATTTTACATGTTTATGGTTACTTAAACCCAATAAGAATAAAAATGTACATTTTCAATCCTATCCCAACAATGAACTAGCATGGGTATTTGGGAAGTAAGGTGGAGCTCGAGAAGTCTCCCTCCCAGCGATTGGTTCGCCTTCTTCAGAACGAGTGTGCGCCCAGCATGTCGCCAGCTTGCCTTCGGCAGCAGGGAAGACCGTCATCTGAGAATGTGGGCTTCCTAAATGTCGGGGGCTTTCCTAAACTTTTTGTACCACTTCAGGTTTCCAGGGCTATGAGTTTGAGGATTTCGGGATTCTGAGCTCTAGGGTGTAGTGCAGCTAGGGGAGAACGCCCGGCAGGTGAAATCTCTGGAGAAGGCCGTGGTCACTGGCATAAATGGTGGGCACGTCCACGTCGCCTCCACGGATTGTCCTCCGTGGCTTAGGGTTTAGGGTTATAGGGTTATAGGGCTTGGGAGTACCATACCTTAAGACTTTTTTCTTGAAGGAACCATTGTGACAGAACCGTTTATACTTTTCTCTCCCTGGTTACTTAGAAGCCCAGGTGGCGTCCACTCTTTCAGACGTATTATCTGGATGTTGATGCCCTGGTTCTAATGCTCGACATCAGCGCGGGACGAACACCATCGGAGCCTGCGAAGTTCGAAAGTGCTATCGCCCAAGATGTCGAGGGTGCCAGGAACTTCCTCAACAAGTTCGACGACTGGGAAACATGCCCACTTCTGATATTGTGCCATGAGGCAGGCATCGAGTCTGGATCCTTCGATGCAGAGCGCATCCATGGTGAGATCGGCAAGTGCGAGTTGCGACATCTACCGAATCGAGACTGGGCCTTTGTTTTGATTCTGAAGTTCAGCTACCACATTTTTGGCATGTGACAGGAGTTGCGCTTTTGTTATTAATTAAGGTATCTCACGCTGACTCGAAAATGAGCCTCTATAAAATGCCATAATTTCCGCACGTGGTATCGTGCTTTCCTTGGTCTTAGATGGGGAAGAAGAGCCCAAAACCCTAAGCCCAACACCCCAGGATCCTAGACCATAAACCGTAAACCCTACAGCCCAACACCTGATAGGCTCTAACCATCCCTCAACCCAAAACCAACACCCCTAGACCATAAGCCCCAAAGTTTAGGGTTTAGGGTTTACGGATTAGGGTTTAGGGTTTATAGGGTTTCAAAGCCCGCAACCCAAGGAGTGCGCCACTTTTCTTGGAGCTCCCCGTCCCTCGTACCAGAGCTGCGAGAGGATCTCTCTTGGCTGGTCACTGCCAAGGAGTCCACGAAAAGAAGATAATATAGGGGCCTTAGTAGTTGCCTATACTATTTTGGGGGTTCCTTATTATAATCACAATAGAATGGGCCCCGAAACCATAAGGCCCCTATATTCGTTCATGAAGCCCGAAGTTCGACCTGCATCGACGTCCAGGGATGATGAATGCGCGGTTTGGGGTGTATGGTTTGGGGGGCTGCTGAGTGTTGTAGCACAGAGCAACCTCGGAAGCGCCGTTGCCTCTTCTGACTGGACTTCGGGATACTTAGAAATATTTCTTAATTTTTGGTTATTATAATCCCTAAGAGCCATCATTAAGGTAATGCAGGGTTCTTAACATCAACCCTAAACCCTAAACCCCTACAGATCCCTTAAAGGAACCCCTAAAAGGTACCCCTACAGATCCCTTTAAAGGAACCCCGAAAAGGTACCCTTATAGATCCCTTTAAAGGAACCCCTAAAAGGTCCCCTTATAGATCCCTTTAAAGGAACCCCAACCTTACTTGAAGGCTCATGGGACTTAGTAAGTAAGGTTATAAGTAGGTTATAATTAGGATAGCCCCACTTAGGGAACTTGTAACCCCAATTATAACCTACTTACTAAGTCCCATGATCCTCTAAGTAGTGTACTTGGACGGCCTCCTTGGCTTGAGCGCCCTGCATCCTCCGAGCCGCTCGCCGAGCTTCTGCGACACTTGATCTTACCTTTGGCTAGTAGGGAATGGAGGAATGGGGTTTAGGGTAGTAGGGTTTAGGGTTTAGGTTAGTGGGGAATGAAGGGTTTAGGGTTTAGGGTAGTAGGGTAGTAGGGTTTAGGGTAGTATGGAATGGAGGAATGGGTTTTAGGGTAGTAGGGTTTGGGGTTTAGGGTAGTGGGGAATGGAGGAATGGGGTTTAGGGTTTAGCGTTTAGGGTAGTAGGGTAGTAGGGAATGGAGGAATGGGATTTAGGGTTGAGGGTAGTAGGGAATGGAGGAATGGGGCACAATTATTATTACTACTACTACTACTACTACTACTACTACTACTACTACTACTACTATCTACTACTACTACTACTACTACTACTACTACTACTACTACTACTACTACTACTACTACTACTACTACCACAACTACTACCATATAGCAACTATTACTACCATTCTTCCATTCCCTACGAACCAAAGGTAAGTGATCCGATCGAAGGTGCAAAAGACCTCCATGCCCGGGGTTCAGGGTTTAGGATTCAGGGTGTAGTGTTTGCGTCGAGAAAATTTACAACCTAAACTCTTTCAGGGGGGGATTGCTCGCAGCTTTTAGCTGCTTTTTGGTGAGGTTTAGGTCTTGGATTTAAGGTTTCTGGTGTCTGGTTCAGGATACTTCTCGTAAGATGGTGCCAGAGTCGTACATGCATGGAAGCTTCCAGATCCTGAGATGCTGCAACCTTCCCTAAGGGTCCATGTACTCATATAGGATATACCTTGGCCTTAATGTAGTCTCTATATAGGTACTTTGGGGCTCATGTATCTCTATATGGGTACATGGACCCTTAGGGCTTGCATGACTGAACAGGGCAGGGCTTGCAGTGTGCGTCGCTCTTGAACCCCCGATCCTCAGCCCTAGAGGCTGGGGTGGCATCCCTGAACTCGAAGCCTTCCCATAGATATCCTGAGAGTGGTTTTGAAGCAGGAGCTCAAAGGCAAAACTAAGTCCCATGTTTGTCGGTCGTCCCCCGGTCATATGGAGGCCTGGATACTGTACGTCCTTATCGTCTCTAGCAATATATGTATATGTTATATGTAAATATGTACAGTCAGAGTTATATATCACTACATACATATATATATATATGTATACATATAATCGGCAGTACAGTATATCCTATGTACTCTAATTTAGGTCCCTTATGACTTTGACTTCGGGGCTTGAAACCGAAAGCCTCAGGGCTTGGTTGCCATGTGCATGATTCTTTAGAAGGGGCCCCCACCCTGTAATAGTGGTATAATCGGAATATAAGGAGTATACTGTGATCATCAAAGGAGCTAGTAGTGGTATAATAGGAATATAATAGGGCCCTAGTATAATCCTTATATTCACTGTTACAGGGTGGGGGCCCCTTCTAAATGATTCTCTACAGAACGTTCAGTGCTGGGATGCCGAAGAAAATTGTACCCCACGGTTGATGATATCAATCCTGCATTACCGATAGTAAGGATAGTAAGGAATATGCCATAATTCCCATAGTTTAGGGCCACTAAGGTAATGCAGGATTTATGTCATCAACCGTAGGGCTCTAAGGCCTGATATAGTAAGGCTTTTGGGCCCAAAGGCCATTTTATGTGAGGCTTTTGGGCTAGTTTGATCCCCAGGGGTATTTGGACCTTGAAGCCACAAACACAAAAACCACAAACCCCGATGCTTCAGTGGTAGAAGGTTTTTTCCGAGGAGAGTTTGGGGGTTTGAAGTTTATATCATCAGAGTTTTGGGGTTTCGGTCTGGGGGTTCGGGGGGCACGCTGTAGAGTTTTTGTATTACCTGGTTGCATACAGTTACAGGTTTCAGAACTGGCTGAATTGCTATTCCCCTGTTCACGCAGGCTCTCGATCAAGACATCCTGTTAGCGAAACGGGCAATTCTCGAAAAAGTATAGGGTCCCTTTTAGGGCCCTTTTTAGCAGGGTGCTGTATTATTTGAGGGACCTAACAAGGGACGCCAATTTAGAGGGAACTACCCAAATCCTCATACTGCAACCCCAAGGCTTAAGTATCCTGAAGTCTGAGTCGTCTCTCTTTATGCTCGAAGCCTATAAGGCCCTAGATGCTAAAACCCTAAACCCTAAACCCTCATGCCCGCCGCTGCACAAGAGGTCCGGATATACAACCCTAAACCCTAAACCCAATTTCTTCGCTGCCCCGAAGCAGGAGCAGATCCTGCACTACATCTACAGGGTGATCCAAGCGCAGCCTGCCAGCAGAAGGTTTTCAAAAGAGTTCTGGTGGAGAGTGGTTTAGGGTTTAGGTTTTAGCAGAGTGTTGGTGGAGGGGCATGAACAAGACCAACCGCTATTCGGTGTATACTATGCTTTACCGACATATGGACTGGAAGGGGATGGCAGTCTGCCATTCTCACATTAACTCTATGCGCGAGCTAGACAGGGCATGCCACGTCTGTGCGCTGCCGCTGCAGTGACTACTTGGAGGTTCATGGGTAGTTAGAACTGGAGTTATAAGTCCCCTAATAAGGGTTGTAAGTATAGTTACCCTACTTATGACTAATCACCCTACTTATAATTACCCATGCACCTCCAAAATGTTGGTCATGGCTGGCCCAGGTGTCTGCTTCTAATGACTGCGGACTTGTGTAGACATGTCGTCTTGGTCGTGTCGTAGACTTTCATTTTTCGATTGCGTTGACAAGGATGACAAATGATGATGATAATGGCGACGAAGACGACGATGACGTTGACGAGGATGACGAGGAGGATGAGGATGATGACGGTGATGACGATGACGATGACGATGATGCTGATGATGATGTTGTCGATGATGGTGATGATGATAATGGTGGCGATGACGGCGTTGATGCTGATGCTGATGGTTCCGGTGATGATGCTGATGACGCTGCCAATGATGTCCATGACGCACATTGAGAAGAAGGCGATGATGGCAATGATGATCAGCATGGTCATGACAATCCCAGAGACTCCAATATATATCTCTTAATTAAGGAATATACCTCAAATCATAGTAAGATCCTCATTATGATTTAAGGTATATTCCTTAATTAAGGGATATTGGAGTTGATGACCACCCTCGTGAGAATCCTCGGCGGGAGACCTCGAGTTTACGGTGACGCGGCACCCGAGTTGGAGTGACAAGCATACTTGGAGGTTCATGGGTAGTTATAAGGGTTCCTCTAAGGGTCCCTTTAAAGGGGATCTATAGGGATGCTATAAGAGTTTAGGGTTTTGGGCCTACTTGGAGGTTCATGGGTAGTTATAAGTGGAGTTATAAGTCCCCGAATATGGGTTGTAAGTATATATACTTACCCTACTTATAACCCTACTTATAACTACCCATGAACCTCCAAGTAGCTCACGAAATGCTGAGATGTTCAGGTACCATGGGCTCTTCGACGACTGATACGACAATCAACGTTGCGCTACGAGCTTGCCAGGCGTTTGGTGCATGGCTGGAGGGTTTTAGGATTCGCACTTTTCGTGCTTGCAGGGGGTTGGCAGTTGTGCTTAGGAATTGAGATGAAAGGGCCCAAAGTCTAAAGGTTCTATACCAGACATTCTTTCTAGGTGCTAATGTTCGCTTCATATTAAGAACCCCCTCAGGATGTGAGCCCCAGCCTCCGTAATAAGAGTCCGGATCCAGCATCAGAGCCATTTATCAGTGTCATGAGTCCAGCTTAGTGACTTAGTGCGTCTGCAGTGTTGGCGGATTTCCTGAGTTACGCTGCTTGAGATAATTCCGCGCATCACACGTGGCTTCTATCGTCAAGATCAAAAGCTCGTATGCGAAGCACGAATTCCAAGCCGAGATGTATGCAAACACCTTTAAATCTGAGCCTCGCGGACTCCAGTAAACAATACGTGCCGGCATCTTCTTTGCAGTATTGCATCCAGACTGCGGAAGCTCTTTGGCCCGGAGTATGAACTTGCCGACAATCCGGCGCCTTCCACCCTCCGAAAGCTGGAAGACCAGTACCCAGAGAGCCCAATATCCTTTAGTCACGGACTATAGCTTAAATCATAATATGAAGGGCCCCAATAATTTGAGAGTGCTCCTGGTGGTTGGATTGATGCTGCGAGTAGGACTCGGGCTTTAAGCTACAAAACGCAGTGGGAAGCAGTAGGAACCCTGCCAGTGATGTTCAGGTGTTGGAAGCTATATCAGTCGTCCGCATTCTTTTGGCACTCGCGAGGAAAATTGCTTTGCAGCTCCGAGCCGTGCCAGCAGCCTAATATCAATAAGCCAGACCCCACGGAACAGGCTGATGCATCTTCGATTGGCCAAAAACCCTAGGCCACCGACG